CTCACCTTTTTGAAAAAGCTTTATGCAGGAATTAATATTGACCCTAGCAGGGTAACACTGCAGTGGCCTAATACCCAACTGATGCGCTTGAGTTAGGGCCCAACTCACATGACACCATTTGCCTTTGCCAAAGGAACTTCAGAATTCAAGATCTGTTCTCTCTTTGGATTTGGGGCTTTCTCTCTGTCCCATGGGGATCCTGGCCTCCTCTATCCCAGGTGCTTGGTAAGCTTTGGACTGGAGCCCTAGCACACTGTCAGGCTGTAAAGGGCGTATCTCCCTCTCTTTTTTACAGGCACTGATCTGTTTTCATCTTCCTACTGCTGATGCAGCACAAAGCCTAGAGACAGAGTACTTGTGTCAGCTAAAGCCCTTGGTGATTTTAAAGAGGTATTCCTAAGAAAACAGCAACATATCTCAGAAAAGCCTCCCCAAGAGGTTATCTAATCCACCCCTGCCTCAGACAGATATTGTAAACATTCAGCAGACCTAGTTTACAACCATTCAAAAAAATTTTTTTAAAAATACTAATTTAGTGCTGGAAGATTTCACACTCCCCCAAGCGGTCTATTCTAGCTGTCTTCCAGACAGATCTTTTCAATGCTTAATCAACAGCTTCCCTGCTATAGCTTAAGCCCCATGTAATAGGCCTGTCCTAATCAATATGGGATAATTCCTCCTTGTTTGAACATTCCCTCCCCCCTTTACCCTGTCCTCCTTTCCACAGGAAAAAAAAAAAAAATCCTAGTTTTCCCTTATTCTAGATATTTATCATGCTGCTGCCCTCTGGGCCTTTCAGGTGTCAACATCTTCCATGAGTTAAGGTGCCCAAAGCTGATGTACTGTATTCTGGCAGAGGCTTCCTCATGATTAGCACCACAACCCATCTGAACTACTCTCCCAGATTAATTTAAAAACTGTATATAAAATACTAAGCAAATGCAAATCTTGAGTATTTGAACAAATTCACATGTACCAAAGTAATTTTCTTTTAAAATTGTTAGTTCAGTTAAAAAAAAGGCAGCTTGCCACATAAAATTCAGTAGCTGTAAGTGTAGGTCAGCAAGAGACCCTCAGGAATACTGTGTTTCCCCTAGGAACCGAGAACCAGTTAGCACAGTGCTCAAACAATAAATCAGTTCTACGATAATTTGGCAGACATATCAGAGCAGCCAGTTTTATTGGGAGCAATATCTACAGAAACTGATATTATTTTAAAGAGATTAGTAAAATTTTATCACCAAACAGCAAAACTTGGTGGTCAGATCATGTATAAATGTCTTTTGGTTATTGCAGCAGGGCGAGTGCTGTTCTCTGTAAGGCTCTGATAACACAAGCAACAGTAACTCAGGCACTCCGAGTAAACCTAGCTGGCTGCCGTAAAGTCCACTCCTGATGAAAGCACTGGGGGGGTTGTGTCAGCTGCAGTAAGTGAATAAAGAGCACACACAGGATTGTACAGGAAGGCTGGACACAACATGTCAGTTTTTTATTAACCAAAAGTGAAGGTGAACCCCAGAGTGGTTTAACTTGTTAAAACCATGTGTTTATATGGCAGATATTTTTCTTTCATGTTCAACATTATAGTGCAAGAACCAAACTTTGCAGCTGTTCATCCTTTGAGAATCAAGTACTAAATGTAAAATGAATTAAAATAAGGGTCCCTCAATGAATCAATTAAAAAAACATTTAACTCAAAAGAACAGACCAATCTTAAGAACTGTCTTATGAAATTCTCCCAAGTGAAAGACCTTTAAAAGCACTTGGAGCCTTGAGGTAGCAACTTTATGCAGAATTTAATTCCCCTCCTGCCCCACAGAGCAGAGGAAAATTAGTAGCGCATTATTAGCTCCAGCCAGCTAAGCAGAGTTGAGTGTTCTCCTATGAGGTTAGTGACTTTCTCTTGCATCTTGAAATAGCAGTGCAGTTGCTGCAGACCGTCAGGAAGAAATCCACAAGGAAGGCCTCTTGAAATAAAATACATGATTTGAAAAAAAAGTGAAAAAATCAGCAATAACCGTAACAACAAAAATTATCTGGAGTGGAAAAAAACCAAAGTGTTTGTATTTTGGAAAGACTAGTTTACAAATACATGTCAAGAACAAGAGTCCGCTTTCAGCCAACGGAAAAGAAAGAATGGAAGTGACATTCAAGGGGGTTTCTTTTTTTTTTGCCCTCTGTGCAAAATTGCACTTTGTTTTTAAAGTTTTGTTTTAAAGTTTTAAGTTTTGCACTTTTGTTTCTAAAAAAAGAGCACTTCTGCCCTTTTTTGTTCTTTTACATTAAGAAACCTGTGCTGTGACATTAAACAGAAATACCATATGCCAGGATATTTGACCACTGAAAGCTCCTCTCACTGACTTCACAACAATCACAAGCAGGGCATCACAAACAAGAGACTTTTTCCTCTAAGCCTCAAAGACACTATTCTCTTTGCCCACTTTGCTGCTGAGTTCTTTTATTAAAAACTACATCTCTCTCTACTGCCAATTTCAGAGACTCCATGGCAGATTTACTGAACACTGAGCAATAACAACAAAAGAAACGGGACTTGTTTTCCATGACAATTGTGATGAACAGTCATAGTGAAAAGGAATGAGCCGAGATACAGTGACACAGGCAGATCTTTACAATCGGACACCTTGCTCCACTCCCTGGTCTTGGTATCGCCACTCACACGCTTTCCCACTTTGCTCATTGCTGGTGCTCTAACCAGATACCTGGCAATGTTGAGTATCTTACTACAAGCTTCTCTAATTATCTTCATGCTCCAAAATTGTATAGAAGAGGTTGGTTAAACCAGACCAAACTAAATCAGGCACACTGCAAATTATAGCTCTTAAATAGACAAGCCTTCTTAACAGGCTCATTCTCTTTCAGCTCAAGTTCAGGTTGCCTCTTTTGACACCAGAGTGATGTCACATGGATCCTGGATGCAGAATGGCATTGGCCCAGTATGCCTTTGCTTCAGGGAGTCTAGAGAAAGGTAAAACTTCAAAAGCTTGTCCTTGCTTGCATGGGATCCCAATCTTTTGATTTTACATTCTAGTCCTTTGAGTTCTAGAAGCCAGCAAATTCTCCCTTCCAGGCAGAATTACCTTAAGAAGCTAACATCAGCCTTGCCTGATTTTTTTGGTTAAGCTTCAGAACAACTGCCAATGTTTGCATATGCTGAGGTATACAGTCCTGTCCTGTAGAGAACCAAAGGCTGTAAGAACCAGAATCCACCTGTAAGGCAGCCCAACGTGCCAGGCGCATCTGGATAAAGGAGAGGATATTCTGCCTGGGAGCAACAAAGGCCAAGCTGATGATCACTCACAGCAAGTTTCTCTTTAGTTCATATCACAGTTTAGGCAGCACATTAACTGATACTGTTTTGGAGACCAGTTTATGTCTGGTCACAGTCACAAGCTGGCCTCAAAAAGACTCTTGACTTGGAGCCTGAAGTATCTGAAAGTTTTATCTGTTATCAATGCAAGGACCTAATGAGTGGGGGGCAAGGGAGGTGTTTCATTTTTCTAGGGGTTTTTGTTGGTTGGTTTGGTTTTGTTTGGGTTTTTTTTAATTCTGTCATCAAAAGAATTATTTTTGTCTTTGGTGTTAAAACTTGGAAGCATGAATGAAGTACCTGCTGCTTCTTTGGCTGTAATTTACACCAAAAAAACAGCCTAGTAAAGCAAGGGAAATTCACTGTTCTAAAATACATGCAGTTAGAACAGCCACTAGACATCACAACCAGGACTTTAATAATATGGAAACACCTAACTCAGTGGAGTCCATTACAAATCATTTGCATTATATAAAAATATGACTCCAATTACAGTAACTGGACAACAGCCATTCAAACTTATCAAGTTTCCATCTTACTCATATTGCAGGAACTAGGAGGAGCTCATCCATTTAGGGAAAAATATTGTCCAGAAATCAACTTGGAGTTGCAGCCAAGTATCTTGTGCCTTAGAGAAATGTCCACTGTGATAACTAGAAGCAGGAATTCAACATTAGCATCCTTCTATTCTTGCTCATGTGGCCACGAATAGAAAGAGCAGGTTCTGTTGTACTAGCATCCACAACTAAAATTTTATAACCCCATAAAACACCATTAAGTTTTGCATGAGCTGCAGAAGAATGCAAATTCAAAGGGTCACTAGCCTACAAATTCAATGTCTTAATGTAAGTATTGTTTGTATACCAGAAAAATGTCCTTCTTATGGTCTGATCCTTATTTAGATAATACTCTGATAAAATCTCAGCAGTATGCCAATTTAAGGTCATTAAAGCTATAGAAATAGAATCTACCTAATAAATGCTGCAAATTTAACAGGTATTTTAGATAAACATCATTAGCTTAGTTATCACCTAAACCAAAAAGACTCCTCAAACACACCAACTGCGTAGTTAGCAAAGACATTTGCTTTACAAAGTCAAACGTTGCCAACTTGTGAAAAGTTTAGCAAATCAACATGGTATTTGGAAGCATCCAAGTGTCTAATGAAGTTAGAATACTGTGAAATGTTAGGACTGGGGGGAGCTCCTGTAAACAAGTACAGAAGTAGTCTTCATTTAAATTACAAAACATTCACCTCCTTAAAAAGCTTTAAAACTGACCCAGTCAACAACAGCACCCTGGGAAATCCAGCAGTATAAAGGATCTCTGTAAGCAAGAGAAGGTCATATATTGTGATCTCACCACAGTAAAATGTACTCAGTGTCAGGAACAAGGAGCAAATTTGGGGAGATGACAATTATGACACCTTCAGACTACTTGATCTGAACCACTGCACTTTTTTGGGCAGCACAGAGTAAAACAATTTTCTTCAGTGTTCAGAAAACACTTAAAATATACTAAAGTTTCATTTTCTGCATTTTGTTGCTAAGCAGACTCTCCCATGTCCCCAGGTTGGTTTACTTGGTTTAAAGAGCTATAGTATCTGCCGCTTTCAGCGTGTGGAAGAAAACTTCAGTGCCACCTTACTTATTGGCTCCATTGATATTATAACTTCAAACCCAGATGATACAATTCAAAGTAAATTTGACATCGTGTAAGGAAAGCATCAGATGAAGGTAATAAACCCATAAAAGGCTCATATTCCACAGGTTGCCTCTGCAGAACAGGCAACCTCCCACTACAGAATCTGATCCAAAAATTTATCCCAACAGTAGCAACACCAGAGGGAAGGAGGCTTCTATATCTTGCACACTTTGGGTTTCATATCAGGCACTTGAACTGTTGGACAGATGCCATTCTGAACCAAGTAAGTGAACATAGGGTTAGAATCATCTTTAATCTAGGTCTAATAATGAAGTATCAGCAGCAAAGTTGAGGCAGGGAGTGAGCAATCCATCTGTGCTGAGACTTGTTTATGGTTTCTAAAATGCCCAAGAAGACAGCAGCAGTAACTGTTCCGTAGTGTCCATTTTCCTTGTGAGTTGTGTTGCTGATAGGAGGCTTTTCTGTGTCTTGAACTAAGAAGGCATTGAGGTACCCTGTGCCTAATTCCCTGGATCCAACAGGTCCATGCTAGAGCCAAACAGTGCCACCAGCTGCTCCTCGTAATGTGTGATATTCCTCTTCATAATGTCCATGCAGGGTCCAAGCAACCTCTCAAATGCTTGCACATCCATGACTGCAAAGAACAGAAGTGAAAACAAGATAGTTTGTTAAAAGGGACACCACACACCAATTTATTTTTTGAATGCAGAACATAGGCCTCCATTCCAACCCATTTGATTTTGAGGCTTCAATAGAAGCCACAGAAATAGAAATCACATTTCTGATTTCCTTCTGTACTGTTATTTGCAGAAACAAGATAATGAAATACACACCTAACCTCAAGGATAAATACAGAAGCCAAACACACACCACACTGGCATTAAAAGATCACTTGAAAGCTGTGTGTGATAAACAAGGTGTAGACAAAAAGCTGATGCTACTTACCCCTTCAAAGGGTACAGATCACACAAGTAGAAAACACAGAATCTGCTGGAAGGAAGGTGCTTCTCAAACCTCAACACAGAGAAAATCTGCTCCAGCCCATGCTCCTAGCTCCTCATGTCTGACCGCCAGTTACCAAAAGGTTTTGTATAGCTGCTCACTCAGGCATGGCCCACAAAACAAGTGTAACTAGAAACACAGAACATCTGCTTACCTAAACATTTGACCTCCCCAACAGCATAGGCAGAGGCTGCTCTAGGTTTGTTGGTAACAAGCGCAAGCTCTCCAAAATACTGCCCTCTGTGACACCGGGCAATCTCCACTTCTTGGTTAGCTTCTTTACTTGTCATAGTCTGTTAAACAGTACATTTTAATTATTTACATACTATTCTGTCTTTGTACAGGGCTGCAGTTAATCCCAGATATCTTATAGATGTGCAACAACTCATTGGCTTAGGACTTTTAAACTAGCAAGTTCCAAGTCATGCTCTGTACTGGTACAACACGTTAACAGCATGTTCAATTAGAAGTTCGATAAGAAAAGTGTATGCCAGCCCACAAGTTTTGAGATTGGCATATACTTACTGTTACAGCTTTGGAACTGCTATTGCATGTGCCTAACACAGGTTTTTATCATGCACAACATGTTCCCTAAAGCTGCTTCAGACTGTACAGAGATCTGTTCAAATGCCAATGGCTAGTATGTCACTAGAGATAATAGACTGTTTAAGTTGCAGTTTCCTATAATCCTAGAAGAAACATTTCATCTCCACCCTTAAGGCCAGGGAGAGTTTACCAGGTTAGCTTGCAGAGGAGCAGATACAAGTAAAAGACTTTCCAACTTCAGTAAAATGACTTCTGGACACTTCAGAACAGGTATGTATATATATTACAAGCTACATCCCATGAGTGTCAATGATAAATAACATGAAATAGTACCTTAAAATAAGTCAGGATAGGCTTTTTCACACCACTTGTATTAATCAATCAAATCAGGGACTGACCTAAAGCCTAATCACCCAATTTGAACTCACCTTGCTTTTAATCAAGATTTTTACTTCACCAGATTCTACAATGTAAAAACAGTCTGCTTTGTCACCCTGTGAAGAGGAAAAGATAAAACAAATTATGTTTTCGTTTACTGTAAAAGTATGTATATGTGGTATTAAAGCGTTCACTCTGAACTAGGCCTTGTGCAGAAATCTGCTAGAATTGACAAACTCTCAAATTCTTAATGTTGTAAGGTGACTGGTTAAGTAATATACTAGAGGAACCCACAGGGGAAGGGAACTATTAGTACATATCATTCAGTGAGAGGGCAGGTGGAATGGAAAAAGCAAAGGAGATCAACGATATATAGCAAAATCACTTAAGTGCAAATCTTCCAATCTGGATGAAAGTCTCCAATAGTGAAACTAAGCAGGGCCTAGAATTTCCAGAATCAAGTTTTAATAAAACACCAATTTAGTGACTGCATTTCTAGATGTCAGTAGGAAGAAGGATCCATTAAACTAAGTATGAGCTCAGTCAGTCCATAGTAGAATAGTGGGAGATCAGCAGAACCCAGAATAGATGCATTTGAGGAGCATGAACATAGAAAGCAAGAGGAGGATAGTTTACAGAAAAACAATTCCACAATGCAAGCCGTCTACATGAGGAATGATGCAACGGCTATGTAAAGATAGTGAGAATGGTAAAGAATAAAGCACTTGACAGCATCATGCAATTAAAGGAAAACAAGTCACATAGGGCAAGTGGGAGAAAATAACAATTGGTAGCCATTTTATGTCAAGTTCTAGACAGACATCACAAGGTGGTGTTGAATAACTGAATGTGAAATAAAAAAATTTGGTTTAGTAAAATTAATCTGTTTCTATGAAAATAAATCTGCTGTTAAGTCAAGTGGGCGAGGAGACAGTGAATGTGATGGGAAGGATGGAGAGAGATGGTTATGACTTGAGTGTGAAACATGGGCTGGGAGAAGATGATGCAAGATTCAAACACAGAGTTACAGAATAAATCAGGCCCTTAGCTAAGCTTCCTGGGGATAGTTGTAAATCATCCAGCACACAGCTTTTTATTCACTGTTGCCAGCTATCACAACACGAACTAATACACTCAGCACTCTTCTGAAAGAGTACTTATTTTTTTAAAAGAATGGAAACAGACAAATTGGGAGACATCCTCATAACATCGACAGGCACTAACAATTTAAGTGCTTTAAAGCACACTGCCCTTAACTGAAAGGTAAAATTCCATGAAGATCATTAAAATATAAAATTATCCACGAGAGAAAAGGGGTTCATGGTATTGATGCAACTGCTGTAATGTAAGAGCTATCACATCTTTTACAAGCATAAAACTTCATCATCTTTAGCAGTATATTACCGTCACCCAGACCTATCCAGACTATTAATCCTCCCTTTAAGGGTAGTTACATTCTTGTCCTTAATTCAGTTATTACAAAAGATTAAAACCAACTGCGTAATTGGATCACTGATTGCATGGGTTCCCAGTTTTGAGACAGATTTATAAATTTTGATTTTGCTGCAAGTTCAGTTTTCTCAGGGTCTTAAGCAACAAAATTTAACTTACAAAATTGAGGGTATTTTTTGAGAAAAGTTAATTTGGCAGTATTTGGTTATCAGCAAACTAAGGTTTCTTGCATTCAGAGTTACCTGACATACAAGGCAATTAAGATTAATTATTCAAGAAGTTATCAAGGAGTCATACTCTGCGATGTTGATTGTGATCAAAAAGCCTGCAATTTCAGATAAGCCAAGGACTTTCTCAGATTAACTTCTACTTGAACTGGAGCACTTTTGCAACAAAGCAACCCCAAGCTAAACTTGATGAAAAATTCTAGTGTTTCATCAGTAACAGTGTTCCAAACCAATCCCACAGCTTTAGCTTGAGTTTGTCCAGCTTCATGTTCCACCTCTCTGGCCTTGATCTATTACAGCAGACAAAACATGTAGAACAGTTAACTGAGTTGGGTCCAGCTAGTAAAATATTCCAAATTACTTCATTTAGTTTCATCCAAACCATACTCCTGTTGAACTGGGTTTTTTTTGTTGTTTAGCCAGACCAAGGAATTAGAGATGGTTTTACTACCTGCTTGTGACTCCAGATTTAATCTGGTCATAGGTGCCTACGAAAAGTCTAGCTGGGGGCTTTCATGGCAAATTGCATACATAGACATTTAATTTCAGCTTCTTAAGGCATACTGGCCATTCCCCAAACATTCAAGAAGTGGTTAAATAAATTGGAAGTATTAAAAGAATAAATAAGGCCAAGTTGGTCCAAGTAATACGATTCTATAAGTCATCCAAACAGGAAAAAGAAGCAGAGAAAGGAGAATGGTAAAGAGAAATTTAGACTTTAAGTACCTGAGAAATTATACGTTCCCCATCTTGATACACTTTCTCCCCTATAACATCCACTATCTTCATTCGTTCTGATGCCTGGAACAAAGAGGAAAATTCAACATAATCATCTATTATAGTACACCTCTGGTAAACTTTGTAGCCCTGAAGAGACATTCACTAGACATACAAACATACAGTATATCAGTACTGAAAAATACAGTTTTCATTTCAAAAATACATTTCATTCAAAAAATCATTTTCTCTAAGATTCACCAGAAATTTGAAGAAAACACTCAGAAAAACGTCATAAACTTTCTAAGAACAAACATCAATGAGAAACACCAGCAACACCTTTTCAAAGTATTTTAATCACCATATACTTGGATATGTGGGGGGTTTTGTGTCCCAGAACTCATTCCTAGAGTGGAGTGAGGAAGGGCATATGAAAAGGATACTGGCTCTAAACTGTAAGGAACTGCAACAGGATGCCCAGCAGCAAGGGCAAGAGGTACTAATGTGACATGCAATGAAACATGCCTGAGCCTTCATAAGCAGGAAGGGAGGGAGAACAGTTAAATGTATCTCCAGTGTGCCCCACTGCCCATCTAGCACACCACAAAACAATAGTATTGGTTCAGAGCAGCGTAGAAAAAAAATATTAAGAAAGGAAGAAAATCCTACAGTTAAAATGAATATCTCAACAGATGATTCAGTTGTAATCCATTCATTCCACAAATGCACCTCAATCTAGCCCATGTTTGAGAAACTTAATTGTGATGCACACATGATTCAACTGCAGTGTGTCAGGCAGAAAGCCATCCAGTGCTAATGAGTTATTTTTGTATAACTTTAAATATTTATGAGTCATTTTTGTGCTCAAAAGAAGTCACATTGATGGAACTAGTTTAAGCCAGGCATTTAGGGAGAAGGTGTTGTGCAATTTACCCACTCCACAGCTACCAACATATGTCCAAAATAATATATATTCAAGGTTACTATTCACACCTAATGATACTTTGCAATTTTGTAATCTTCTCTCAAAGGGATTAATCTTTAGTATTTGAGAAGTGCTTTTTATGCTGAAAAATATTCTTACAAGAAAACAAAGAAAAGCTAAGCTACGGTGTAAGGCAAAGACAGACGCATACTCATTTCAAGGCAGTTTGGCATGGCTCCAAAAGCCTTCTAAAGATACAAGCTGAATCAATAGCTTAGAAGTGACAATTTACACACTGTTCCTAAAGCCACACACCACACACATCAACATGACATCTGCCTGCTCTGCCTGGTCATTTTATTCCCAGGCAGCAGTGCTTCCCTTTGGCTTATTCTTAGTTTACCTCCTGAATATCAGTTAAGGTTAAAGCAAGACCTATGACAGCCCACATCTTTGTCTCAAATTTAAGTCATTCATGGCTGACAAACACCACATATCCCAGCAATTGTATCATTACTTCAATATCATACCCTCAAAGGGAAACACAGCCCTGACTTCCAATTTTCACTTTAATACCTGTCCTCTGATGTATTTATAGATGGTTTTTGTTTTGTGATGTTTTGTGATTTTTTTTTAACCTTTACACAGACCAAGATAAAAATCAGCAAATAGCTTACTGTGAACAAAGGATATGAAAAAAACCATTATACAACTTCAACAATGCAAATTAAGTTGTACAGTAAACGTGATACCAAAGCAGCTCTTAAAATTTTGTTCTAAGCAAAAATGACACAGATTTCTGATATAGTAGGAACAGTGACCGTGGAGCTAATGCTAATACAAGAATTTGATGCATATGTCTCCAAGAGGCTTTACCTCCAAGGATTTAAGAAGGGGCACAGATTCAATAAATAATTCATACGTCTTCCTCTTCTTTGCATTGTTTTTCAATATAATTCTTCTGAACGTCACTCGATCCTGCAAGAAACAGCACAGAGAAATATGTTATTCCTCTTGACTAAAACGCTCCCCATTTAAAGAACTGACAATCACGAACTAGTATTTGCAACAAACACTGGGTTTGAGAAGCCAGCTGTTAAAATTATACCATAGCCATCACAACAGCTCTTATGAGAGTACTTGCTGCAATAACAGATTGAAAAACAGCAAGCTGTAAGACCTGGTCCTTCTCAGAGAAGCATTTAAGAATAACTTTTTTAGTCTATCTTGTACTGTTTTTCAGGGTCGAGTTTTTGGGTTTTGCTTGGCCATTTGTTAATATCTCTTTCATGCTTCCACATACAAGGAAGAAGTTACGCTCTTCTTAGCTGAAGCCACTGAATTGGCATTTCCAACACTTATTTGTTAAGGCAACTGCGGGATTAAGTCTCAGTTTGATTCTTCTCTACTTTTGAAATCTGTGACTCAAGCTGGAGATTTATACTGATCTCAAACAGATCAAGGACAGAGTATGAAGAGCAACAGGCTCGATTCACCCGTCTACCTTTTAGGATCCGGGAGGCAGCTTTTTGCAATGACTACTTCCTAATTGCCAGCTGTCCACGTGTACCATAAGCACCTTCCTGATGGAAAAATTGTTTGGTTTGTTTTATGAAGCCAAAATATTGAGCAAGATTCCCTGCCATCCCTCCTTGCTCTGCTGTTGTCCCCAGGCAGCAGCTAACGACGGGCAGGCTCCGTGGCCACGGGGCGGCACTGCGTGCCCGAGCGAAGGCAAGCTCGCACAGTTAGCCAAGCCCCTGCCTCGGCACCTGCAACGGCAGACATGTTTGAGAGTTCATTGTCAGAGATCTGAACGAAATGCTTTTTAGTGAAAAGGCAGGGCTCAACTACTGGCAAACACCGATGAGAAAGGCCACAAGAGAGCCGAAACTAAACAGCACATCCAGGCTAAGGGGAAGGGCACTTGCCACCAGGTATTTTTGTTACTGTTTGCGTTACAAGATCACCCATGGTCCCTGTTAGGATCAACACTAAATTATGAACAGAGTGAGAGTTGCAGAGTTTCCCTTACACAACATGAGGCCATAAGTGTAAAAAGCAAAAGCAAAAAGTCGGAGGAAAGGAGCAGAAATTTGGTTTGGAAAATGGTACCAAAAAAAAAAAAAAATCTTTTATGTTTACATACACCACAATTAGCAGAAACATCTGAAGCCCTGAGAGCCATTCCTCTGGATCTCATTTTCTGAAAATACCAAGTGATACCTTAGCAGAGATATTTTGAGGTGAAGAGTTACTTTCAAGTAAGAGAACAGTTTTATGGGATGCAGGCTGCAAATACTTGCAACTTGAAACAATGACTGATACAGGTCACACTAGTGAAATATAAAAGTTGAAGGAGGTAAAAGATGAAGGGAAGAATGGTATTCCTGTTATCCAAAGGAGAACAAGAGATGATAAAGCATGAGGAACTGTTTTAGTTTTATTTTTTTAAAGAAATTCTTCATTGGTAGAAATCTCTCCTAGAGAAGCAGAATGGTGCAGAAACAGTCAGGGGAATTGCCAAAGCATTAAAAAAAATTTCAGAATTCATTTGTTTGAGAGTATCAGTGAGGAAGGAGAAGCAGCAGCATTTGAACAAAAAAGGCAGAGCCACAAAGGAAGCGTCCGTGTTTGTGAGGTTTTCCCCAGGCACGTTCAGTAGCAAAGGCTGAGGACATTTCTCTGCTCCAGACAAGACCCACATTTGATAACTGCTTGGTGCCTGAGCCTTCCAGGCTTTTGTTGGCCTAAGTCTGCAATGCAGCAGGAGTAATCCACATCTCCTAAACTGTAGATAACCCATGAGCTTTAGCAATGACTTCTGCAGACTAATAAAAATATGTTTAAATTACATCAGGCACAAAATCATATAGTACAACACAGCAAGGTCAGAATTACTGGAAGAATTAACCAGAGTTTTAGGCAGGACAATGCAGCCTTACTTAATAAAATATCTACATCACAGATCAAGAGGTTGCCCTTCAGCTACACCTTACTAATTAAGTGAATGTAATCACAGAAAAAACAAATAGCTAATAGCTATTTGTTAATATAATCTAATAGCTCCCTTATGACCAAAATTAGCCCAATTTGTGCAGTTCTTTTCAAAGGCAAACTGGAACAAAGAATCATCTCTTATTTTCTTCCTTTTATGAATGAGCTCAGTTTGTAGGTAGCTGCTTTGTTCTGTCTTGTTCAACAAACTAGATTCTGACATTACTCCCTGGCTGGTTTACCTAAAATCTTTTCTTTCAGCTCACAAAGAAAAGCGAAGCCAGAAGTCAGATCCCTCAGCAAGTGCTGAGACGGCATTAGCACGTTGTGTGTAGCAGCTTATCAGTCCTATAATCAAGGTCACAACACATGGTCAACCCCCAGAGATAGTTGCCAAGGAGCCCAGGGCACACATAAAGTGTACAACACTTCTGGCTTCAAAGGCTTCGTTGATCGCACAATCCGCTTATTATGTGAGCCCTCACAGATGAGTAAGGGTGTGCTGTGAAAATAACCCTATCCAAATACTACAAAGAACTAAAAAAGGAAACTAATGTCTACAGCTTCACATTCAACACTGCCAGGCTAGAGACAAAGCAACATCATCATTTAGCTTGGTATCTCACAGGTCATGCTGACCTGAGAACCTCTTTCTTCAGGGTAAAACAGAGAGACCAGAAACATTATGACAGTTTATTTTGAAGGAAAACAAAGCTTTGGACAGTTTTCCTAGTTCCTCAAATTACTGACATCCTCAAGAAGATATTTAACACCTTCCCATTCCACTTAAAGCAGACAAAACGGTAGGAAGGTGAATTGAAAATAATGTAATTTAGGTAGTTTCCCCCTCCCATAAAATATGTGCATTAATGTTTCCACTGTCCTCTGTGGGATGAAAACAAAACCAGGGTCCTCTTTCCCAGCCAGCAAAAGCCACAATTACAGCAAATGCAAAATAATAAAGGAACAGATAAAACTAGTGATACAGTTTTTACAGATAAGTTGTTCTAGAAGGGTGGCCAGAAAGATTTGCACAACGGATCTCTTATGCCAGGAAGTGAGATAACAGATCACGATAAAATCGCTATTAGCACAAGGAGCCATACCAAGAGAAGCACTGGACATGGTGAGTTAGTGTTTAAAATATTAAGCATACGAGAGCAACCTCCTTTCCTTACCAGTCCCCAAAGGGCTCCTTCTGTTGTGGCAACAATGGTGGCAGCTCTAGGAGTGTTGTACATCAATGCCAGTTCCCCAAAACTGCCGTGATTATCATACCGGCCCACACAGCGTGACTGGTTGTCTTTTGCTACAACAATATCATACAATCCCCTGGAAAAACAATGGAATAGATGCTTTTTATTAGACAACATTCTAGTACAGATAATAAAAACAGCTTTTTGCTGTTACAGAAATAGTCCTCGTATTGCTGAGTGAGACGGAACATGCTTTATTGAGCTTCCCAACTGCCTGATACAAAGCTGCTTCCATCTACACTATTTTCACAGTAATTCTCTCTTAATAAAGCATTTCACTTCTGACAGATCTGGGCAGGATCTACTTGGTTTCCCCTGCATAGTATTTTGACATTGCTATTGTAAGTGTTCTGGTCAGGATGATAGGTAGTTTTGTCTTTAACAGTATTTGTCTCTTCACAGCATGCATGTTATCCAGTGAGGCCTCTTTAGAGTGACTTGGATTCACATACACCTGTTTTCTCAGTGACAGCATTGCTGCAGTACCTTTGGGATACATTCAAATCCAGCCACCCAGCTGCTCCTGTGGTTTTGCCTCAACTCCAGCTTAAGGGTATGTCTATATCATAACCCCAAGATGCAATTGTAGCTTGTAGCTGCATATGACCATGCTAGATTCAAACTATCCAGCTCTTGTATGGACAACAGTGATGCTGTAGAAGCACAAAGATCAGAGAAAGGGCCCTTCTTTACACACCTAAGATACTGAGTGAGTTTTTCAGTTTTACTATGAGCAGCACTTACTGATCCTCAAGCTGGAGGACTTAAAGTTAGTTCAGGAATGTCATCCATACCACATCTTTACACTGTAGCACAGAGATCTCCAGAGGCAACCATTTCACACCTGGTATTTTTCTAATAGCTCCCTTATGACCAAAACTTTTATCACTCAGTTCAGCTTCACACCAATGCTGCAACTCCAAACATGCTGACAGCTGAGCCAACCAATTTTATCACCATTTTCATGGAGGTGTGGCTACTGAAGAATGCAGATTATAGCATGTGATGTTTGAACTGGAAGAGCATCTGTTCGACTGTCAAAGCTCTGTGCACTGAGGTGACACTGTAGCATGCACAAGCTTAAGAAGCATGGGCAAGTAACTTCTAGCAGCTTTGCAGAACATTACGGGTTCCGCTCTAGTCACACTAGCTTCAAATTGAAGTGGCTGAGCTGTAAGGTTTTTAATTCCTTTTTTTTATTGTTATAGCTCACTTCTAGAAACAGGAAAGCTTTCTAATACAGCTGACATCTAGCCAGGATCTCTGAACAGAGAAGAAACTGTTCAAGTACCAGAAGCCTCCTTGCACTTTGTTCATAGGGACCTGTAACCTGCTTAAATTGGAAAGGCCTCCTCACCCTGTACTCCAAGAGGCACACTTCCTACATTATAACAAACTTAAGGGAACAGTATCCCAGAATCTGCCAAGAATCAAAAGACTACTCTGTCAAAGATGCATGTACCAGCCCAGTGAGTCAAAGCTTAAGACACAAATCTGGATCAAACTGCACACCAGAGCAGCTGCATATGAAGAACAGCATAGAAATATTTCTATGCTGTACACAGAAAGGTAGCCCTTTAAAAGTCAAACAAGTGTCTGTAACACCCTCAGGACTGTCTTATGCTTCAAGCTTTAAAAAAAATAATTTAAAAATATAGCTTGACTAGGCTTGCTTAATTCTTGGCTATGGCACCAGAAATTATTCAGGGACTAGACACTCGTCTAAAAGACTTTACAATAAATATATCCTGCCCTAGAGAAAAGCAGGTAGGGAACACCTTCCTGGCTATAAGCAGCTGAGCATGCATATAATTTTCCCCATGAGTTTGGATCTTTGTCAGAAGGAATGGTATTACCTCTCAGAACATCATATAGTCACATAAGCGGGGGGGCGGGGGGGAAGGATCACCAGAAACAGCAGGAGGTGAAACTTCTCACGGTACGCAAGTATGGGAACAGATCCACTGGCAAGACCTGCCTAGTATTAACACAGCCGAAAGTCTTTCAGGATTACTGATGGACAGCCCTGGGTTTGTTAGTCACCTTTGAGTTCTGCTGCATCTAAAAAATAATATACTACAGGACAGCTTTATGCCAGCTTCATTTGTAGGAGATTCCACAAAGTGGACATTACATGCATCAAACAAACAAAATACATCAAAGTGAGGAAGCTTTGCACAATGATTTGAGAGTCTACTGTTTTAAACCCTTTCAGACCCAGAGAAAAGTTTGGCTACTGGATCAATAGTAGATGGGCCAGATTCAGACATGTCAGAAGATCCAAGAAATTTAGTCTCTCTTTGTCAGCCAGAAAGCTAAAGGAGGAAGCTAGGTCCATGAAGACTGCATAACATCCTTACCAGACACTTCGACAAGTGCTAACAGTAAACTAAATAAGAATTAGTGTTGATGTGAAGTTTCACTAATTCTTGTAATGTCCAATATCTATTTAACGATTCTCTGAGAGGCACCAGAGGCAATCTTCAGAGGTTTTTTTGGTCTAGAAGCGCCATCTGTGAGCACCTTAAGCAAATGCAACCACTTCTTCCCATCCCTCAGCTTGAAAGTCACTTACTAGTGCCATTTTTTTCCAAATAACTAAAGCCACATAACCTTCATCCAAGCATTCAGCTGTCTGCGGCCCAAGGACTAAATTGGTGAGGCACCACTGCGTGATCTTGGCTCAGCTTCACTGAGAGAACTGTTGCTGAGCTGTGAGACAGTCCGTGAGCTAAAGCCCTGAGAGATAAGAAGAATAAAAATACAGACTGAACTCTAATTGTTGAGACAGTAATTGTTAGGAGCTCAAGGACTCAAGAGAAAAACAGTGACAGGAAAAAATACAAAACTCCAAGAAGAAAAAAAAGGCAGAAAAGCAGAAGAGCGCAACTCAGCAAGATTGTAGATCAGTCTGTTCCAAGAGGCAACAGAGGCCAATGCTGTCCCTTCTGACTAATGACTGGTCAATCAGCAGAGACTCATCAAATGTCTCCTCAGCAGTGATGAGCATACTAATGTTTAGCCATGCAACACATTCGTCTTAGCTCTCCCTTCCATGCAGTAAGCACTAAAGTTACATCTATTCTGCCTGCTGTCTCTCTGTGCATGGTAAAAGATGCTTAGACAGCAGTGATCTGGTGAGGAAGTATTACAACCAGAAGACTTTGGGGGAAAAAACGGGCCTGTGCCAGAAAGCCTCTTTTTCTATGCAGACAAGAAGCTAAAGAGTTACGTCTGCAACACAAAGTCACTGTTCATTCAGACAGGAAGAAACTAATCCTCAGGGATATTTAGGCATTAATGACTTATCTTAGAGTAACAAGACATGCCTGCTGATGCACTGAAAGAGCCAAAGTCCTCTGAATTTACACTTGCAGGCAAGTGGAAATATTGTAGCTTTCCATACGCACCAGTATCCAGTTATTCTTTTGCATGAGAAAATATGAGGGGGTGGGAGGTGGAGGAGGACTGGAAGGGAGCAGGACTGGAAAGAGGGAGAGGGGGGCAGAAAATTCACAACCGTAGAATTCTTTGTAATAACTGAATAGTCCACATAAGAGCTGCAGCCGAGTTGGTGTTTACCGCAAAGGCTGGTATGCTCTGTTGCTAGACAACACCAAGTTTAATTTTCCTCACTGTATAGCCTTTCTGCCATATATTTTTGGCATCATATTTATTTTACTGGTGTATGTATTTATTTTACCAGTGCATTATACCTCGAGAGCAAAACAAACAAAAACTTAAGAACTTGAACTCTTCCAACCCAACTATCTCTTGATGGAGGAAAATCGTTGTGGAATAGCATTACATCTGTAGAACAGAGACCATAAAACATTTACCTGAATATCAGAGATAAGGTTTGATTTCACTTCTTTATTTTAGGCTAAAAGTCATAGCAGGAAAAGCTTTTTAGGAGCCAACAAAGTTACTAAAGGTCTGTGTAAGAGCCTTACACAGAACAAATTAAAATAGGCTGATGGTATCTAACATTTCTGAGAGGTTCCCAAACTGAATTTAAGTTTCCTCAAGATTAGGAATCACTGCTCTGCATACATGTCATCTTTGCAGAGCTGGTGGCTCTGGCTCCCATAAGTTCTGATCTGCAGTACCTTACTCTTATCTGGGACAGCGTGATCTCCCCAGTGAACATGGCAAGAGAAGGAACTTGTCCTATCTAGCCAAAACACATGGGATTGGTCTGAGACAGAGCAGTTGAGAGAGATAACTGAGTATGGAAATAGAGCACTGGGTTAGGCTAATGGGATGGTATGGTAGAAGACAGGGGAACAGGCATACGGTCAGAATGTATTTGAGGTAGCCTTATATTCTGTAATGCCACTAATCAACAAGGGGAATGTCCTTGAAGTGAACAAGGATCATTTAAAATGAACAACTTCTAACCTAAAACTTCTCTTGCAAATTCCTTAAACACAGTATAAATGACAATTCAAAAGGCAACACATTGTCTTGAAGAACTGCTTTCAAAGCATTTAATACAGTATTAATGGCACCATTATCTCAGTGATACGGAAGATAACAAGTGCATCAAAAAAAGTAGTTTGCTAAGATGGTGTTCCAACAGACATTTATAATCCAGTCAAGTAATATTCTCTTTAATGTTATAGTTTTACAGAAGGAAATAAATCTGTGTCCTTAATTCTTCTTCAAATACAGTGATTAAAAGTAACATTAGCCAGATTTTCTTCCAAAAGGGTAAAAGGTACTCAAAATGTGCATGCACACACATCTATTTTATGCCTGTTGCACATACATATGATCCACAAAATTATCATGTGAATTTGCTTGATGGAAGGAATTGCAAAATGACACCTTAAAACTCTGCAAATACAAATCACATGACTAACAGAAGCAAAGTAAACAAAAGTCTCTCTGAAGTCAGTGATCAAAACTAATTGGACAAAGTCCAAGTTGTTCCATGGTAGCCACTACCATGGATTCTCCTTTGCCAAAATAACCTCCTACCCCTCCCTTTACCATATGTTTTCTTTTGTTGCTTTTCCCCCTCCTTTCTTCAGAAGAAAACACATCCTGGTCTAGAGACAGTATGTAACATGGCTGGTTTTAAGCTATGCACATGGTGACGAACACAACTGCTAAACTGAACAAATCATAGGCAAGCTCATGCTGTGGCCCTTCCCTCAGAGAAAATGGTATTTGAGTTTTTACACAGTCACACAGAACGTGTTACAACCCTGCAGGTTTGAAATGTCCACCTTTGTCAAATTTGACTGCTCCTGGGCAAACAATCCAAAAGTCATTGGGGACCTAAAGGGGAAAATGGAAAGATCAAAGGAAGAGGCAATGACTGCAAAAAGTAAGTTTCCTTCAGAAACTGTCCTGCATTAAGTATTTCCTGACATTTCTAAGAAACATGTTCTACACTTCAAAGGCACAGCTGCTTACCGCTCAACGACATAGAAGTTGTCTCCATCATCACCTTGGTCAATCACATGTTCCTGAGGTTTCACCTTCCTCTCAAACATGGCATCAAGGACCTGAGACAGCTGCTCCTATAAAACAAAACAGGAGGGGGACAGTGGCAGGGGATAAATTAAGAAAAGAACCTCTCAGAAAATACATCTTCGCATTATTGCTGGACAAGGGCAAGTTCATCTGACTTATCTGAATAGTGAAGTGCAATATGCATTGCATTATTTTTACTGTATGCAAATACAAGTAATACTGATATTAAATGTTGACTTCCACTAGCACCTAACTTGTTTCCAGTTTAACATATGTTCAATAATGCAGACAAACATAAATGCTTTAGATACCTCCATTACAGAAGAGCTATTTCTCAAATTAATGTCCAAATGGCTTAACTTATGCATACCATTTCAGTGCCAAAGCGCACATGTACAGCAAGCTCTCACTTGGTATAATCTCACACAGCTTCACTGCAATGGATACATATTGATTTATGTCAATGGTACATATATTTCGTTATATGTGTGTATGTGTAGAAACTGCACCACGACTTATCAGTAACTTATTTGTACTGTCATTATCCAAGAGCCCCAGTCATGATCAGGACCGTACTGAACAAGACTCTATACAAACAGTTATTTCCCTAGATACTCTGTGTCTTATAGAACCTGCAATTCCAGCCCAAGACAAGATCAGATATGTACAGATGGGGAGCACATACAAAAAATGGTATAATGCTGGTCTGCACAGCAGACTCAAGCTATATTCCTCTAATGAGCCATGACTAAACTTTTTTTGTCGGCAGCACAGCCAGGAAAGCTGTGAAAGCCAAGAAAGATGATAACATATAAAAGCCTTGCCTCAATGCTGAGCCGCTTTACCAACTTTTATTCCAAAGTCCATTAACAATAGACTTTTGTTGCATTTTCAATGACCCGATGTGCAAAGTTGAAGATGCAGATCACAGCTGAGTTGCTAAAAATTTACTGCATGAACACGCAAACTAGTCTTTATGCTGCTAGATGTACTTGAAATATTTACTGCGCTCCTTAAGTTGGGAATAAACAATGCAGCATCTGTAGGCACCACTACATTGAAAATATTGCCTATCTTTTCACTAGAATCCTATTTTCTTGTCTTTAACAACTCTCCTGATATTTAAACTAAACAAAAAATCATTGCATGAAAGCCATTTATTTTAACCACATGTTTCACAGCATGAAGTAACAGTTGTCAGAAAACAAGCAATGTAGATTTTAAAAAGCTTTTTAAAAATACTGTAATTCAGTAATGCTTTATTTGGAGGATAAACAGGCAAAGACTTATCATTTTAAGTAAATAAAACACTGAGCTCTTCTGTCAATAAAAGGACAAGCTTCATCAGATTTCTGAACTGTAAAAAGCCCTCTTGATTTAAATATGGGTACTAGCATGCTCAGGGGCCTTGGATAACAGTCATTGCTCTCACCCAGTACAAAATTCAGTTGTGACTAGGATTCTACAAACTCATTTACAAGACACTGTGGAGCCTATGCATGATACGTAATACAGAGCTTTCAACAGGAAAGGAGTTCTGTACTCCCCCAGCACTTTATATTGAAACATAAAACAGGGTTATCATTGGGGATGCTCAAAATCTCCAAGGTTAAACCCTGTGTCAATCTGAACTGATTTTAGTCCAAAGTTTAACATGAACCTTGCTAGAAGTGACCCACTGGACACTGGCTCCCTTCTGTTTGATACCAAGTATTACAGGAACTATTCATGCAAGTGAAGACATCTAAAAGGGCCATTCAGTCCTAAATTCAGCACTGCTCACCTAAATGCAACCAGTGGAAAAGGGATGAATTTGTCCAGGACATTTGAGTCACACAATCATATTTGCTCCTAACAGGGCTTTAAGCAGTTTTGTTGTTGTTGGGTTTGTTTGTTGTATTTAGCAGTTTTACATGACATTCTTCAGAGGCTCAGAAGCAAAAGAATATATTTGTTAATTAATTTCCTTTATTTGAAAGTGTTCCTCACAATTATTAAAGGACAATATAGACTGAGCAAAAGCAGCAGCCATTCATTCTGCCTTTCAGTGGATATTCTACAGCCAACCTGCCAAACCAGTCACATTATACACAGGGAGTTAAAAAAGAAATTACTGGGAGGAGGGGTTGAAAGGATGCAAGTTCCATACTCCCTTTATACCCGTTACTAGGAAAGCTCTCCCCTCTCTGCTAAGTGCCCTTTATCATACTATAATCAACGTATGGACTGCAGTCATCTTGTTCAGCCACGTGCTATCTTAAAGCCCAAGTCTGTAACAGTTGCAGTTAAGATCATTTCCATTACTTCTCTCCTCAGCTTCTTAGAAAGCTTTTTGCAGGAAGCAATATTTTTCCAAGCCGACTTTGAAAAACAAATTTGTGCCGAGAAAGTGATTTTGAATATAATTTTAACCTATTACATTTTTAATAATTTATTAAATACTTTAATTTATAAAATTGTTAATTAAATTATTACATAAAATTAAATAAATAATTTTTTGCTTCTGGGTGATTTTGCTAGAAGCTAAAAAATTGGCCTACTCAATTCGAATAGCGATCACATTTTGTACATACAACTTGAGCTGCTGAATGTTCTTTAAATAGGTTTCATTTTTTACTGTATGCAATCAGGTTCCTTGCAAAAGGAATCTTTAAAATTTCTTAAAAGTAAATCGTCAATTTAAGTAAATTAAGTAAATAGGCTTAATAACAACAGGAATCCAGGACAGTGCAAGGCCAGTCTTGGAGAGGACAGCTTTCAAGGAAACCTTTTGAGAGAATGACAATTCCTTAAGCCTGCTGCAATCAAAAGCTTTCAACAATTATTTTGAGAATGACTCTTGGGGTTTGTACAGCGACCAAGAACTGGGAGAATTTCCTGGCTTTCAAGGAAAGCTGAGCAGCGTTTCTGAAACCGTAAGCTATCACATCCATCCTTTCGTATCTCAGGCAAAGCTCAGTGATTCAAATCACGAAGCTGCAGGGACCATCACTGGTGTTACAGTTTTCATTCTTCCTCAGCCTGTAGTAGAGCTGTCAGTTCTGTTTTCATGGGAACACCAGACCAGAGATGAGATGGATTTATTCTATAGCCTCTGCAAGGCTGGTTCAGAGTATCTCCAAAGGTCTGTTCCTGAACTATCCAATGATCCTCATTAAAAAAATTCATACCAATTAAGATTACTCAGTGCAAGCACTGGAAACACTCATTGTTAAAACTCAATGCTGAGGCAATGAGTAATTAATAACCAACTTCAGCAATAAAAATAAGACAAATAAGAACAGGAACAACCTAAAAAACATTACTTTACATTCATTTACAGAAAATTTAATGACACATCGGCATTTAAGAAAAAGGTGCAGCAATCTGAAATCTTGCAAATGTGGATAGTGTTCAATATCACAATTGTGTAAGTAATTTCCTTGTTAAATTGTCCATAAAGTTATGAACTGTTTCCTAGGAAAAAGGAAATCAGGTTCAATGGTACCCAATAGCAAATATTGAAAGATAAGCAAAAGAAAAAAAAAAAAGAAAAAGAAAAACTTTCCTCTAAGAGAAAAAAAAATTGAATTTGCAGGGAGGGGGACCTGAAAATCATGGTAACTGATTTGACATGTTTGTTTATATTGTTCATTGATTGTTGATCTCCAAACATATCCCAGCCCAGCCTGCATATAATTAATACATCAAGAACTATCACAATGCAAACATGTGTCTGGACTGTTAGATCATGCTATCACCCATACTGTTAAACCATGAACTCCAGTTAAGGTTTTCTTAAAATTGTATTACCTGATCTAGGTTTTTGAAGAGCAGGATATCTTTACACGCTTCCTGCAGTCTGCATCGCTGTTCATCAGTTTTTGGATGAACTACCTTTAAAACAAAGTAAAACAAAACTGTCACAACAACAAAGAAATATGATTACAGACTGAACCTTCACTTCAGACTAAAAAAGCAGAACACAATTTGAGATTGACAAAGTCTACAGTTCTTTTTCATTGTTTGCATAAACAGTATTTATATATAAACATACAATGCAAGACAGAATGAAAGAGACATAAGAAATATATTATGCTGACAATTAACAGATGCAAAGTAACAGTCAAGAAAGACAAGAAAAAAGAGGATGCCTTTTCCTTTCCCTTCTAACCCAGCTATAGATACAATCAAGGCTTAAGCATTTGGAACAGAGGAAAAAGTCAACACTTTTCTTTCTAAACTCTGGCTATATTAGTCCCATTATATTATTGATGGCATACAGGTAGTTTGTAAGATATATGATACATATGTACCTCAGCCCATGTAATAACAGAACTATTGTAACATGTAACAGTACATGTAATAATATCTAAAAAGCGTATTTTTTCCAAAAAAATTACTTAAATAAAAGTTTTGCTGTTTGAGAGATTTGGGGGTGGGGGGTGTGTACTTCTTTTCAATTATACACATCTCATCAGGTTAAAGGAACCAACACTCAGTGTGTCATAAAAATGTCTTCATATGTGCTTGTTTGAATTATGAAATCATATATAAAAATATTAAATTACCTCACATTCACCACATTAACTATAGTTCTGGAATAACAAGGGTTCCAAAAAACAGTTACATTAACAGGCATGTCCAAACATTCATTGTCCAAAACTGAGCAGATCTCAGATTGTTGTTTTAAAAGAAAACTGGATATTGAGTCAGCAGTCAGGAAAATTAAGACTTTTGATGGAATAAAGAGACCCAGGTTTACAAACATTTGGATGAACAGACACACTCCTAGTCATTTTTTTTTATAGTATCTTATTTATAAAGTATCTTCTTTTTTAAGAGAAATTAAATTAGACTTAGATTTTCATTGCAGAAGTGTAAGTATCCAGAGATGGAATCTGAAAAAGGAACACCAGAAGTCCAGAGAGAAAACATTGACCCTCACCATCCAGGCTACAGGACTTGCTCATATAAAAGGATCTCTAAAGAAATACAATTACAGTATCTGGATTTGCAATTCCTAGAAATTCCCAAGTTTCAAAAACAACAGAACAACAGGTGGGCACAGTCTCAAAATATTTCAACAAAGTATTTCTCCCACCCAAGCAGAACTGCTTTGACAAGAAAGGCAGTAAAAAGCATGTGAGGAATTTTAAGCACTCATGAAGAAACAGCTGTGGTAAAGCTTAACTAATTCTTCACAATAGCATCAATGCTCTAGGAATTGCCTCAACAAGCCTTTAAGATAATTAGGAAAATATCCAAAATTTTTAAGGTGGTAGACTTATGTACAGCTCTCGAGTCCTTTGAAGTAAAATTACACTAAAGCTATAGTGACTAAAAAAGTGCATGAGACACAGTGGCCCTAAATTTCAGAGCAATGTCAGTTTGTCAATGTCAGCATATCACACAGCCTCCCGGAACAAAATGCACAAGTGGCAGGGAAAAGGTGACAACTGCCTGTCAAACTGTAGGGAGAATCATGCATGATGCAATTCACTCATTCTTACCCTTTGTTCTGTATCTTCTTCCTCTTCGTCTGGATTAAAAGCTTCAGCACAAACTTGGAAGAAAAAGAGAGGGGAAATTAGTAAAAAGAAGCAATTACTTGAGAACATCAAATCAAGTTTAAATTATTTTCTTTTATATTTTATTTTCCTACATGAAAAACAAAATCACTCTTGTTTTTATGTCATTATAGTGTCAGAGGCTTAAATCCTATCTATTCTCTGAGCAGGCACAGCATGGCTGTTCTCAAACTCTCTTGTAAAAAGTCTGTAACTTACAATAGAAAATAATCTTGCCTTGTGAGTACTCCAAAACACACACACAAATTTCCTTTCCATTCTCATGAAAGCATAGCAATCTCCATTCAGATTCATTTACAAACATCTTCCCTGAAATGCAGGGGAAAAATACCGCAGCTACATTTTGTTCTTTGCAGTGCAACGTATATAGCAAAACACACTTTAAAAAAAAAAAAAAAAAAGAGTACAAGGAGGCATGTGGCACTCACCCCACCTCAAGTCAGATTTGCAAGCGAGTATCTGTATTTTGAGGTTTTTTCAATACAGAGAAACCACATTTACAGAAAAATTAACCCGGGAAATGAAAAGTGAGCTTGACCACAGTATATTCTATGACAAAAAATAATGTTTAGTCCCCCCATCCATATGCTCCTATATCTTTGAAACAAAGGAATGTCAAAGTGCGATATAAAAACAACTTTAAAAAATACACAAAGTGATTTTTTTTTAAAAAGGATGAGAACATTTGTGAAAATCATACACTGTAGTGCATAGGAACAAGGCTCTGTCATTATATAACTACAGGATTAATTTTAAGAGAGGTGATGATAATGGTGAGCTTCTAAAATTTCAAATCATTTTTTTTCAGTTTTAATACTTCAGAAAAGGTTTAGTTTCACTTACCTTAACAGTTACACTGTTACACAATTTTACCATACTAAACACAGACACCTTTGGCTGCCAAAGCAATAAGAAGGCTAGAGATATGACTTTCTTATTCATTCGTGGACATCTGCAGTTCTTACATGTCAAAGTGAACTCTAGGTTCTAATTAGCTGTACAGCTAGAAAAAGTGAGAGTCAGTCCTGTTTTCATCTAGTTCTGCTCTTACTTTAGTAAGGGTGGTCTTACTTCTGAGGCTATATGCTACTTGTAAAATTCTACAAGGAAACACAGACAAGCATTTTCCTTTGTACTTCATCCAGCATCCTGACAATACTGAAGACTTGGCAGAATGCCCAGAAGCTCACTGCAGTGACATCTAACTGCTGAATGGACTTAGAAAGTATAAATAAAAATAAGGAGATTTAAAAAAAAAAAAAAGAATATCTAGAAGGCCTAGCATTCAGCAACTTGCAAATAATTTGAAAAGCATACAGGACTATTGACCTTGCCATTCTGCTTTCAAAAGGACTATAAAAAATGCACAGGTCCAGCATAATTTGCTATGGAAGACTTGCTTCTTTTTTTTTCCCCTGCCTAAAAGGTACAGGTCTTTCCTAGCAAATTAGATTTTAATTCCTTTTTTTCCTGGAGAGGCTGAAGGGACTGGGATACAACACAAGCATTCCATTTATCAAACCACAATGTAAAAACCCAATCATATAATCATTAGGTGTTTAAAGAGTAGTTACTGCTCACACAATAAACCCACTGTCACACTGCCTCTTCTGGTTGGCACCATTTAACAACACAAAAATGGTATACTAACAGTGCATCTACAACACACACAGACTTTTAGTTTAACAGAGTGGTCCACCCACATTTAGGACAGATGCTCTACAAAGGATAAATAGCATTCTTCCCCCGCTGAAAAAAAAAAGTATAGTCCACCACACAGTCCAAAGATGACTGCATTATGGGAAGGTAGATGCCTACAAAGCTGCAGAACTTGGACTGATAGGCAAAAATCCACTTAATATGCAATACAAAGACGCTAACAAAGAAAACATCATTAGCATTTCGGTGCGAAAGCTTTCCTCCTCCTTTCATTTTACAGTACGGATTTAAATCTACTGTGAAAGCTTTGGATTTTCCAATAAGAAACATTTTCTTAGAAGAAAGGCTTCTTGGTTTAAAAAGTATGGTGAAACTGGAGATAAGAAGTGTATTTATTCTTTACAACCAGCATATCTTACCAGTAACTAGAGTTCAATTCTCTATTATGCACTATAGTACGTACTATAAATGCAGTCACGTACGTTTCTGAAAGTACCTGGCATATAAGCACATTCAAGCTTTGTATCTATGAATTCAGAGATCATCGTACTTCATAATATGGTTCTATCATTTAGATTTTCAATATTAAGCTGCAAATTAGATTTTGTTCCTGCCTTCAACTGCAGAGAAGCTATTGCTAAGAATATGCTTTGGAACTGAGGAAATTCTCTTCAAGATTTCCTTGGGAAAACAAGTATAATTACCACGTCTAAGACAACAGCATTAGTGCAAAACCTTATCTTAAAACATGCAGCAATCAAAACAACACAGTTCTCTGCAACTGTAGTATCAAACGGCTTTGGTTGAGATTTGTACATGTAAGTCTCCCCTATTTCATTTTATCCAGTAAGGGTGAAAACAGCTTCATGAAGACTGGTAAGGATACAGACTAGGACTTAGTGCCCTTCCCTTACATACGGAAATCACTTCTGCAGCGCCCGTGAATGGGCACCACAGAAATACAACAAAAATGTGGGAAAAATCCTACTTCTTCCCATGCTGTCATGTAGACAGCCTTCCCATTATACTTTTCATTCTTCACCCTCCTGCTGGGATTTCTTTTTTCATGTAGAAGCAGTAGGGCAGACATTTTGGACTTCGACTGACAGCTCTGATTGACAGGACTTTATTTACTTCCAGGCAGAGCTGTAACACAACGTAACATATCTGTTGCGGGACAGCTAAAAAAAGGGTAGAGAGACAAAAATGATTAATTCTGACCTCAAGCTTAAATTATTATTGTGATATGCTGGAAAGCCCACAGAAAGCTCTTCAGCCTACTCATAACAACCAACAGCATCTTCCAAATATTTTAAAACATGACTAATGCAAAGAAAAGGCAAACATTACGTCAACACCATCCTGTGGTTTATGTCACAGTAAGTCCAATTTTTCTTTCCACTATTTTTAATTTGTGCATTACTTGTGGAAGTCTGTACTGGTGAACATATTACCTGTCAAGATCTGTGTCAGTCTTACTGTCAGTATGCTTCATGTTATCCGTGCTCAGACAGCATCGCTTCTCTGTTCTTCTGGCAGAGAAGAACCCCGTAACTACCCTAAACTCTGCCAACCCCTGTCAGAGATCTACAGAAATTGATTTCAGGACTCCTGAAGGTTAGTCATTTGCAGGTTACGGTACAGCCAGTCCCAGTGAAAAGCCATTTGATCTTTCATCTTGATGGAGTGAAAACATACTTGCCCCTCAATTTTACACAACTGAATCAACATTTTAACTATTTCAGTATCCCAGTAAAACAGGTACTCCAAGGCAAGCTTATTCTTACAAGATTATCCTGAAGAAATGTGTTGGTAGCATCTCTTCAGACTCATTGAAACAGCAGTTGGAAGGGATCTCTCTCTGAAGGTCATCCAGTCCAGCCTACCCCTTAAAGAGGGGCTATTTGCAATGCTAGATTGGGGCTGACCTGGAAACCTCCCTACGCAAAGATTCCACATCTCTGGCTAACCTGTTCCACTGTTGCACCACCCTCCTGGGCAAGAAGTTTTTTTTAATGTACAAGCTAAAGCTCACAAATATCTTGATATAATTTGAAGTGACTTCTAAAATCACACCTTTCCTATGTGAGATTTTCAGCACAACTCTGCCCTTGAGCAAACACGAAGCATGAATGCATCAGTGAAAGTTATATCCAAGTATGACACATGCCCCTATTACGTATTTCCAATACTACAGCTATATCAGCATATACAATGTAGACCAAGCTTCCTTCCAAATCTACTCACATAGTTCAAATAGCTTTGGAACAAAAAAAAGAGTTTTCAATTTTAAGAAGTTTTGGGATAAAAAGAAATTCAGGTTTTTATGCTACCATCTACATTTAGTCTCTCTTAGCTTCTGCAGTTTCTACAGCTAGTTTAGCTTTCTCCACATATGGCACCTTCTTTGGCTTTCAAGAACAGGCACATCTGTTAACACTTCTGAATGATACAACTCAATCGCTGCTTTGTTATGCAGGTGACAGCATCTGAAAGCAATAAAGATCTTTCTAGCTGCAGCAATGACATAAGCAGTGGATGGGTGAGGGGGAAGCAAGGGGTGGGGAGAGAATGAGAAGTAACAAGAAAAGTTTGCCAGTACAAACACCACCTTTGTTTATGCAAGTTTTAATCACTCCCAAGATAATATTGTTCTGCAAAATACGCGATCAAAGTCCTTGCACTCTGTGCAAATCTGCATAATAGTTCAGCATGTAGCTTCCATAAGCAAATAAAGCTTTCCTGAGAAGTGCATATCATCCCCGTAGTTGACAAATCACTGGTGGTAGTTTTTTTGTGGGGGTTTTTTGTTTTTTGTTGGTTTTGTTTTTTTTTTTTTCCAAAATAGTAGCCAAGAGGCTGAGGCCTGAAGACCTTCAGACACACACAAAAGATGGAAAAATTTTCATCCTGGATGTGAACATTCTATGTTTTATGTAAGGTGAATGTATTCTTAATATTTCTGTTGTTATTGGAAGTAGCAAAAGCATGCTCTGTCATATTCTCTCTGCGATTTTGGATAGCACCTTCTGTACTTCAGAGCAAAATCCTATTCACTTGTCTTTACTTATAAGGATGCATTACCTCCAGTTGATCCTATGAGACCCATTAATGAAAACCCACCCAGAGTAGTAACTGCAGAACAACTTTTCCAATTATTTATTCAGATCAGTAATCTTGCACTACGTTTAAGGCGACGTTCTTTGCATTTGAGTTTGCCTAAGCTTCAAAGTCTCTCTCAAGGGACAGATGCACAGCCTCTTCTGGAAGCACTATGCCAGCTGGAAAGGTGACCACTTCCAGTGGCTCACCATTC